AATAACAATAATTACAATAACGATGACAATATAGATAAAACAACAATAAAGTTAATAAAATGACAATGATGATAATAATAAGGGTACAGTAGTAACAACGATGATAATGATATAAATAATGATAATAATAATCACTAGTCATTATCATTATCAGTATTATCATCATTATTATTATTATCACCATTATTACTATGACTATCAATATTATCATTGCTATTTCAATTTATTACTTATACCATTATCATTGTTATTATCCTTATTAGCATTATTATCATAATCATTATCAAAAATAATGTTACTATCTCTATACTCATTATTGTCATTTTTATCATTATCATCCTCATCCACCACATCACCATTATCATTATCAATTAATACCAATATAATCCATTATCATTATCATCACCATTATCATTATGAACGTTATCACGTGTTATTATTATCATTATCCTTACTGAAGTTATTATTACTAGTTACTACAATTACTACCATTACCATTATCATTAGTATATTTATTTAATTCTAATCATAATCATTTTTTGTTACCATAACTACCATCCTCATTACAATCATCATCATCATCATTACCATCATTATTACTACTGTAATCATTATCTTTGTTATCATCATGATCATTATCACTATATAGTAATGATAATTAGTTGATGATGAGTCGTAAATATAACAAGGATGTTGCTGATAAGACTTTTTATTCCATTAATTCAAGCCGGATAAACAATGGAGAGAAACGATGATTAATCAATAATGATAAATATGATAATAATTCAACCGGAACAAGAACACCCGGTAGCGATAACAAAGGAAATCGTCAATAAAAACAATAATCACGACAAATGCAAAAATTATGACATACAACGATCATGACAAATATAAAAAATCATGACAAATACAAAAATGACATAAAATATCACGGTGGTGGTGGTGGTGATGATGGTGACGGTGACGATGACGGTGGTGGTGATGATGATGATGGTGGTGATGGTTATTGATGATGATGATGGTGGTGATGATTATTGATGATGATGATGGTGGTGGTGGTGGTTATGATATCAATAACAATAATAACAATAACGATGACAATATAGATGAAACAACAATAAAGTTAATAAAAATGACAATGATGATAATAATAATAAGGGTACAGTAGTAAAGACGATGATAATGATATAAATAATGATAATAATAATCACTAGTCATTATCATTATCAGTGTTATTATCATCATTATTATTACCAGTATTATTATGACTATGAATATTATCATTGCTATTTCAATTTATTAATTATACCATTATCATTGTTTTTGTCCTTATTGTCATAATCATTATCAATAATTATGTTACTATCCCTATACTCATTATTGTCATTATTATCGTTTTTATCATTATCATCATCCTCATCCACCACATCATCATTATCATTATCAATTAATACACTATAAATCCCTATTATTATCATTATCACCATTATCATTATGAACGTTATCACGTATTATCATTATCCTTACTGAAGTTATTATTACTAGCTACTATAATTACTACCATTACCATTATCATTAGTATTCTTATTTAATTCTAATCATAATCATTTTTACTACCATAACTACCATCCTCATTACAATCACCATCATCCTTGTTCAGTGATGCCAGACTTGTGGAAGTGTCTTTCTATAAAGTACAAATTATAACAGTTCTTGGAGAGGATGATGATGGTGGTGGTGGTGGTTATGATATCAATAACAATAATTACAATAACGATGACAATATAGATAAAACAACAATAAAGTTAATAAAAATGACAATGATGATAATAATAATAAGGGTACAGTAGTAAACACGATGATAATGATATAAATAATGATAATAATAATCACTAGTCATTATCATTATCAGTGTTATTATCATCATTATTGTTAGTATCACCATTATTACTATGACAATCAATATTAACATTGCTATTTCAATTTATTACTTATACCATTATCACTGTTATTATCATTAACATTTATATCATAATCATTATCAAAAATAATGTTACTATCCCTATACTCATTATTGTCATTATCATTTTTATCATTATCATCCTCATCCAACACATCACCATTATTAGTATGAACGTTATCACGTGTTATTATTATCATTATCCTTACTGAAGTTATTATTGCTAGTTACTATAATTACTACCATTACCATTATCATTAGTATTCTTATTTAATTCTAATCATAATCATTTTTTATTACCATAACTGCCATCCTCATTACAATCATCATCATCATCATTACCATAATTATTACCATAAAAAAAACATGAGAAATACAAAAATCATGACAAATACAATAATTTTAACAAATAAAATAATTATGACAATTACAAAAATCATGACAAACAACTATCATAAATATAGAAAAAAATCATAATACAAAAATCATGAAAAAAAGAAAAAAAGAAATGAAAATACAATAATCCTGACAAACACAATTAACATAAATACAATAATCCTGACAATGTGGATTATGACGTCGTTTCTGGGAACTCATCCTGCACTAACTAGTGTGATGTCGGGAAAATAGTGATCATCATAATCTTGCTCGTAATCAAATTATAATGACATTATAATCTATCCTGTAAATGCTAATAATTTGGTAGTGTAATGATGTTTGGGAAAATAATAATAATAAAGGTATGATGATAATGATTATCTCCTGGCATAATTACATCATAAAGAACAATTATGATGATAATAATCATGATGATAATAGTAATATCATTATTGACAGTACCATTATTAATAGAAACGGTAGTATTGATGATAATAATGATAATGAAAGTGGTATCAATTGTAATAACAACAAAAACAATGATAATGACCGTTGTAATTGTAATAATAACAATGATAATGAAAATAATATAGGTATCATTATAATCATTATCGTTATCATCTTTCTTAATGACAATAGTGATAATGACAGTGATGATGATAATAATGATGATAACGACAATGGCAGTGATAATGACACTAATTTTAATAATGATAATGCTGATAATGATGACAATGATACTAAAAATCGATATAATATTAAAGACAATAATAATGATAATGAAATAGTACATATAATACTAATAGTAATGGTGATAATAATGATAATGATATAAACCAAAATCTATCATTTCAGATCCTATAGTATATAAGCGTACAACAAATGTCTAAAACAAACAGAAAAATAGATTATATAATGAAAGGCCACAGTTATTGTATAAGGTCTGTAAAATTATCATTATTGCTCCATTCACCACTATTTTTATTAGTATTATCATTTCTATCATCATTACTATCTCATAATTATTTTAGCATTAATATCATTCATATTCATGATTATCATTTTAACAATTGTTATTGCTATATCTACTATTATTGTTATTGCTATCTTTATATCATTATTTTCATCATTCTCATAGTAATTTTCACCATTATCATAATTTTCACCATTACTGTTATCATTCTATTAACGAAAATATAATTATGATTACTCTTACTGTTATCTCTAGATATACTGTTTATTTCAATCACTAATTTGAATACGAGAAAAATGGACACAGATTATATTCACAAACATTGGCTTACTTAATGAGGTCTGATTTGAAACTATAAAAAAAGGCGAGAATGTCGATTTCTCAATACCCGTCCCTCTTGCTTAAAAGAAAAAAGAATGAAGGACAACGATAGCCAAAAATATCACAAAAAACACTATTTGGCAAGGATGCTTGAGCTATAAAATCCCATGTTAGTCTAGAAGTTGCACACACGCCATCATGTTTCGTCTGAAAACCTTGCTCCT